GAAGGGAGAGGGAGAGAGAGATAGAAACATCAGTGATGAAAGAGAATCATTGATTGGCTGTCTCTTATATGCCCCACACTGGGGATCGAGCCCGCAACCCAGGCATGTGCCCTTTGACCAGAATCAAACCCAGGCCCTCAGTCCTCAGGCCAACGCTCTATCCACTGAGCCAAACCGGCTAGGGCGTGATAAAGTTTTTATTTTTTTTAAAAGCAAACTTTGTAATTGAAAAAAATATTGGAGAAGTGCACATCTGGTGAATTTTTATGAATGGGCCCCCCAGGTAGCTGGCACCCAGATCAGGCCCCAGACGGTGACCAGTCAGCCCACGGTGACTGCTTTCTAATCAGAGGCCATCCCACCTGGTATGAACCAGGTGTGGGTGGAGTCAGCGTGCCCGGCCTGTGTCTGCACGCCTTGTGCGATACGTCCCTGTGACCTCACCGTGCAGCCTCCTGCTGGACTCACCACTGTCTGTACCAAGCTCTCGGTGGCGAGGCACCCCGCTGGGGACCGGGGGGCGGGGGCATGTGGTAAGGTCACCAAGGTGATGGTGGTTGCTTCCCCAGGGCCTGACCGAGAGCTGCAGACAGTGAGACAAGCCATGATTGACTTCCTACAGAACCACACGGATGCAAACAGGCCTCCCGCCTGCCCGGCTCTGGACCCTATTCGGTGCGTGGTTCTGTAAGAGAAAATGGCACGTTGGGCGTCGAATTAATTCTGCAAACTCAGATGTGCACTGAGTGGGTGGGCCCTGTGCCTGGAGGCCAGCGCCCTGTTCCCAGAGACACTGAAAGCCTTTTTCTCTTAAAAGGCCCAGCGACGTCCTTTCTCTTCTTGACAACCGTGAGGGCCGCTACGTGGCTGTTCTGTTTGAGAGCAACAGCTCGTATGTTGGACGTGAGGTACCATGTCTGTATCCTGTCGGGTCCCGGCATGATGGGTTCAGCACGGGGCCTGGGCCTAGATTCCAGGGGTGAGAACTCGGGTAGTTGTGTTACTCGGTGAATCGTCTGGTTTGTGGAGAAGACAGTGGGGGAGCGTCTCTGAGGGCAGGAGAAGAGTAGGGCACGGGCTGGCCTTGTCCCCACGTGGGCGTAGGGCTCAGGGGGCGGGGACCTGGGCCTGGTGGTGCTGCTTTGCTCCTATGCTCTGGAGTCCAGTTTGTTTGCTGTATTCTGGGCTCCCAACTTTTAGCCAGATGGCTGCCAGGGTGGAGGCAGCAGCTCCTCAGCTCTGCTCAGAGCCGAGTCCTCTTCCCCCTGCCCCCGCCTGGGCACAAGGCAGAGGCCAGGGCCCTGTTGCTGTCCGGGGATGCTGGGGCTGTGGCCCCGGGGGCGGGGGGCACTTGATGGTCAGTTTCGTGGAGGATGTGCTGGCTGGGACAGTACCGCACAGGGCCACTGTCAGGTCCCCTCAGACCGTCTGGTTTCTGCCGGGGTGTCCGTGGCTCAGTTGCCTGAAATGTGACCGTCTGGGTGTGGAGAAGACAGGTGCGGAGTATTCCCGGGGACGCTGCTCTGGTTCTGTGAGCAGGACTCCCTCTGTGCACCGCTCCCTGTGGACCCGCCTGGGCCCAGGGTGACCTTCCCTCCTGATGCAGGTGATCCTGGACCTGAGTCCGTACGAGAACATCGCGGTGAAGAGAGCACTGGACAGCGACCCGGCCTTTCTGGAGAAGCTTGGCATCTCTTCCGTTCCTTCCTGTTACCTGGTTTACCCAAATGGGTCCCACGGGTTAATTAACATGTAAGCGAGTTTGGCTGAAGGACTGTTTGATGGTGGCATCCCAGAACCATCTGGGTGGGAGCTCACACCAAACCGGATATGGTCTGGTCCGCGTCTGTGTCGGGGGGTGGGGGGGGCACACCCCCTTTCCCCAGTGAGCGGTGGGCACAGGTGGGCTCTGGACTCCATCCCCTCAGTCCACTCTCCTTCCTGAGAGCACAGTTGTCCTCTGCACTGGGGCCCCTGAGAGAATCCCGAATTGGAAAAGGTTGTGGGCGGAAGGGTTAGGTCACGTCCAAAACCTGTGCTGCCTGCCGGGTCTCCACCTCTCCGCCCTGCTGAGTGGTTCTCACGCCGCCCGCTGGCCTGGGGACCTCGGGCTTTGGTGGAGCTGGGCGTCTGTACCACCTGCGGCTGAGCTCGTGAGGACTGAGCACCGGGCCTGCAGCAGAGGCCAGGCCAGGCTCAGCTACTGCTCCCCCAGCTCCCTGAGCACTGCCGTTCCCCTCAGACCGAGGATCGTTTATGTGGAAGTGTCATCTGTACGATGTAACATAGAGGCGCACTTTGCATGACCTTGAGCTACTGGAAGGTCTCAGTCGGCCTTCACACGCCCTGTAGCTCGAGGGGCCCATTGAGCAGCAGGCTCAGGGGAGGACCGAGGCCGAGACCTCCACACGTCATAGAGCTGATGCTGCGGGTGCTCAGCCGGCTCCACAGCCGACGGGTGTCCCTGAGCAGCTGAGGCTCAGGGTAGAGTGGGTTTGTCTCATGTCCTGGGGAGAGGGGGGTGGGGCCAGCTCCGAGGCCACACCCACGGCACCTGTAGTGAAGGGCGGGAGAGGGGAGTACAGCTTCCCTCCCTCACGAAGGGGCCTGGGCAGCTCAGGGCCAGGTTCGGGCTCCGGCTCAGCCCACACCCACCCACCCCTTTCTCGCAGCATGAAGCCTCTTCGGTCATTTTTTTCCTCTTATTTGAAGTCGTTGCCAGATGTGAGGAAAAAATCGCTTGCATTGCCTGAAAAGCCAAGCAAAGAAGAAAATTCTGAAGTTGTGGTGTGGAGAGAGTTTGACAGGCAAGTGCTCTTTGGACAGGAGGTGTGGGAGGTGAGCACTGGGAGGCCCAGGTGGACAGGAAGCTGCGGGCTCAGCTCGCTGGAGGCTCAGGCCTCCCAGGG